ATCCCCCCCCCCCGCCTCCAGCCCCTTGGCAGGAAAATGTCAGAAAGCAGCGATGGATCCATCTATCCCGAGGACCGTGGCGGGGACGTGGGTTCGGCGCGGGCTCTGCAGCCGCGCGCTCACTCTCGCTCTCCGCCCGCCCTTGTACAACCCAGTCTGGCTTCCCGAGCCGGGTGCAAGCTATCGCAGCACGCTCATCGGGCGGGCACTGGGCGGCTGGTTCCCGGGACCCAAGCCTGCAGGACACTGGACACTTGCTAAATGTTTTGCACTTTTGGGAAAGGCGGGACTGGAGCCGGAGATCTGAGGGAAAGGCCGCGGGGGGGGGGGGGGGTCTGCTTCTCCCAGGCTAGTGCAGCCGCCGCCCTATGTCGCTCTGCAGGGCCGTTGGCTCCGGCTTGGGGATCCCGCCACCACCAGCGTCACCCACCCCTGGCCTAGCCTCAGCCCCTGTCCAAGCTGCCTCGGCCTCACCCCGGGTCGGTCGCCTGGACCGCTGCGGGAGCCTCTGACCGGGAGAGTGCGCTTGCAGCTCTCGCCCTTGCCGAGGCCCACAGGTTGCCAACAGGTCTGCCCGCAAGACCCCAGTGCCAGAGCTCCCCGGAGGTCACCTCGTGCCCCCCTCTGCTCGCTCTACTTGCGTCCAGCCTCCCCGCAGGCCCTCAGGCGCCGCTAAGAGCCCCAGGGGTGCACGCCCTTCGCGCAGCAGAGCCGGGGCGAGCCTGAGTCCAGCACCCGGGGTCTCAGCCACCTCAACCCAGCCCTCCCTGAAGCCGTGATGGGGGGGACATCGCTTCTCCCTGACGCCCTCCGGGAGGGGCGTGGGCTGGAGAGCGACGCGCGCCACCTCTCCCGCGTCTGCGACCGGGTCCCCCACCACCACCCGGGTCCTGCTAATCTTACCTGTTCCACCTGTCACCGTTATTTATCTCACAGTGAGCGCAGGGATTGTACTAGAACGCGCGGTGGGAGCTCGGAAAGCCGCAGCAGCTAAGGAGGTGAGACCCTGCTCCATCGGGCAGAACCGTTCCGGATCGGCTGCGATGGTGGGTTCATGACTCCAGGAGTCTGTCCAAACTCAAAAGACCTGCAGACCCAGAAAGATGATGCTCTTGTAAATTAAAGCATACACTTAAATTTTATAATCTACATGATTCCCATATAATTAAAAGCACAAAATCAAAACGTTAATAAATAATAATAAACCCCTCCTTCTCCAAGCCCATTTCCCACTGGGATCTTCCTCCACTGGCACTCCTGGGTGAACCTGCCCAGCTAAGGAGCAGTGAGGAAATATGGGGGGATGCCTGTCAGGTGGGGAGGGGCACCATCAACCCACACCTTTTCAGCTCTCTCTGGATCCTCCCACTTTTTTGTGCCTTCTTCATCCTCCCCCACCTTATTCTGCAGGGTTCAAGGCTCACTTAGGAGGATCTAAGTCCATCTTAGAACCTGCACTTAGCATATGCCAACTGGAGATTTGTTGAATGAATCAATCAGTGATGCCTTTCTGGAAGCCCTAGACTGTCTTCAATCAATGCACCATCCTCCCTACTCAGGACCATTTATTACCCACAAAGAAAAAATGCACTGTTCTACTCCATAGAGACCCAAGAACTACACTGTGTCTTGCGACCACCTCTCCCAACCAGTCTGAAAAGGAAGCCACACCAACTGAAGAGGTAAGGATAAGGAGCTTGATTTATTGTCCTATCCTCAATGGGCTCCCAGAATCCCCCAGGAAGCTCCCAGCCAGTTAGCCTGGTGACTCAGACTCTGCCTGGCTTTGCCTATTCTAGGCTCAATGAGACTTGGAGGGAAACCATCTTCCTATTTCCACTTACCCACTCCAACCCTAAATAGCAGCAAATTGCTCCTCTTGGACGTGGCAGAGTGGACGAGCACACAGTCTGAACACACACTGTCTGGAAGAGGCCTGGTGATGGAGGCATGCTGGGGAAGAGGGAAGCAGGAGTCCAGATCCTGGCAGGCTGGGACTGAACATTTGCTGTGCTAATCCACTTGTGAATACTCGCTGTATGCAGTGTAAACACCTCGACAGCCTGTTCATGTGTGCCTGTCAGCTCAGTCATCTCCTCCCCCAGTGTCCCAGTCTGCTGTTTGGGACAGAGCCCAGGATCTGGTAATGGCAGACAACCCCAGAGAAGGTGAAGCCACCAGTCCTGCCTTCCAGTCCTAACCTGTGTGGGCCTCAGTTTCCCAGATGTCAAGCAAATTGCATCTTTGCCTCACAGAGTGGTTAAGAGAACCAAGAGTCAGCCCTCCGTTAACAAAGGCTTCGTGTCAGGCATTGTTTTGTATCTGTGACCTGAGGCTCCTCTCTCACACAACTGCTCTGACACAGTAGCCAGGCTGAGCCATACTACAGGGATTCGAGAGCCAAAGTGTTTAAGTCACAAGAAGGGTCTCATGTGTGTGTCATACACAAGAACAGTGCTCTGGACTGAGGCTGAGGGTGGGGAGTGTGTGAAGCTAGACCCAAAGAGCGCCTGAAGGGGACCATGGGGCCCAGGATCAGACTGAGGCAGGCTCTCTGGGGCCACTATTGCTTCCCACCTTAGAAAGTGGACGGGGCTTCGTTTGTCTCAGAGGAAGCCCAGCACTTGGGCACCAAGAAGTATCAGGAACTAGCAGCTCAGGGAAGAGTTGTGAGACTGTGATGGGTTTCTAGGGAAGCAAGGTCCTGGCCCCAGCAGGGCAACTGCAGGCTTTAGTGACATCATTGTTACTAGAAAGCTCTCCATCTCCTCCAGCTAGCTGCTCTCCAGTGAGTCAGAGCCTGGAAGGGGAGAGAGGGAGAGAGGAGAGGGTCTTGGCCGGGACAGTGCTGTTGCCTTGTGAGGTAGAACACATCTGAAAATCAAAAGGTAGCAGGTATTGATTGAATTGCACAGTAGGCCTCTTTCTGGTTGAGGGGAGGGGGGGCTGGCTGGGAGGGGATGAGGAACCAAGAGAGTTATGACCCTGCCAAAGACCAGTTTATTAATTCGGGCTCTAACAAATAGCCAATTAATGGCTCCAGCTGCTAATTAGTAAGCAGTTAACTTCTGTTATAAATTGCACAGCTCAAGATTAGAGAAAACGCTAGCTTGTGATGACACTCTTGGAGAGGGGGGACCTGAAGACTTTTACCTTCAGGGCTATAGCCCTCCT